TTCTAATGAAACTTCAACACTATTATTCAATAATTGATTTGAAGTGTTTTCATTCTTGATTGTTTTATACACATTGCTGGTAATTCCGGTAGAGTCGTAGTTGTAAGACTGTTTTTCTTCGTTGGATGCGCTTCTGAAGAAATGTTATTGTGCTGCTGGATGATGCTAAAGATTCCTGTATATCACTTCTTAAAGGATGGCGAATTGGCCTAGCCACCGGTCGATCAATCAAATGAGAAATGAAATTTTCATTTCTTTTTGTAGTAACATAACACTGACCACTATTCAAAACAAAAATAACACATCTAAAAGCACATTTTGGTCTTCCCTTGCAATATAAATAGCCATGTAACAAATAATCAGTTGGTTTTGATAAAGATTGCTCTTTGGTCGAATATTTCACTTTTTGTATACATAATGCACAATGTGGATTATATTTCTTCAAATAGTTATATAAAATGTAAAACCATGAGACGTCAACCTTCCGCTTGATAAGATCACGTTGATTTTGTTTAGAGTTCTTGTTAAGTAGAAGTCGAGATGGGTGGCGATGATGATGAAGGTTATTATTGTTAGATGTGAAGAATTGGTGTTTATTATCGATCAATGGTATACCCATTTGTGTTAATTTTATATTTCGACACCGTTGTTGAAATTCAGCTTTTTTTTGGTTTAGTTTAATTAAATCGTATGGTTCAAGCCGAAATTGATATGTTGTGGATAATTCTTTATCGAAATTAGGTGCAATTTCTGTTTCGTTTGCTACGGAACAAAGACGAGTTGTTTCTTCCAAATCTTTATCTAAAATACAGAAAAAAACCAAACATAATTAGAAATAGAGAATACTACGGAGAACAGAAACAGGTTATATAAGCCGATGTTCTTACCTTTCTCATTATTCTTTGTTATGGTTATGGTTGATTTTGACCCACCTCCAATGCCTTGACCTTCACTAGTTCTATGGGTAGCTAAACGAGAATGAATGATTTTAAAAAACCAAACATAATTAGAAATAGAGAATACTACAGAGAACAGAAACGGGTTATATAAGCCGATGTTCTTACCTTTCTCATTATTCTTTGTTATTGTTATGGTTAATTTTGACTCACCTGCAATGCCTTGATCTTCACTAGTTCTACGGGTATATCGAATAAAAGCTCGTTCTTGTATGAAAACGACGCTAAATTAAAGCATAACACTTACCAATATCATTTTTATTTCTATTTTCTTCTTTATCGTTCTCAGTATTCTTCTGCTGTTGTGGTTTATCGAAATAACCGCTGTAGTTCTTAACCAGGTGTATATCATAATTAATAGGATCATATGGATTGATGCAGACAAGATGATCTAAATAGAAGCAAGCAGAAAGAACATTAAAAATCGCATAAATAATCGCTAAGACGAAGTCGAAATAAATAATAGGCTTATAGGCTACGAAGTTTTCTGTAAAACGTTTAGTTTAGATTAGCATGATAATCAGATAATCAAATAATTTTCCTGCTCTCCGCTCAATAGCGGTAAATAATATTCATCAACGAATAAACGTATTTCATTCGATGATTACGTGAAACTACTGAATGATTAACTAACTTTTTTCTGGATTAATTTGTGAATATTCTTGTGATGTGTTGGATATGGCTGTGGTTGGTGGCGATGTTCCATGTTTAACGTAGCACAGGATATATGCATCAGGATGGTTCAATACTTGTGATAAATCAACGTTGATCACTGTAGAGTCGTCTGCTCGGTACCATAGTATGTTTGGAGCGTGAACAAATGAATAATAGTGCCCATTCTCAGCTGTACTTCCAGCATGTATCAAGACACAAAATAAACGATAATAACATTGGTTGATGGACGTCGTTTGTTGAGTTTCTTCACTAAGATAATCATAAATATTTAAAAATTGTGGATATTGAACTAGATGAACTAATTTCTGAGATGCACAACCATATTGAAACCTTTTCAGTTGTAATAATAAAATATTGGATTGTTGGTGTATTGTATAACGTTTTCTAGCTATCGTTAAATTACAATTTTCACATTGATATGAATTATCATTTTCCATTATTTCAAGCGTTACGAAATTCTTTAATGATTGCTGGATATGATAATGATTTATTATTCTTTGATTAATGACGTTTTGAATGTTAATTGGCCAGAGAAAATTTGATTCATAGTTGTCGATTATTTTATTGCATTTCAAACATGTAACTCGAGATCGTAATAGAAGGCTTAATATTGAATGAATTGGAGTTTGGTTGTGACAAAGATGTTGATATTCAGTTCCAGAAGATGGTAGTAGGCATTGAGGTGGATGCAGCGAATGTAGATAGTGAATAATCATTTTATCTATCAAGCCACTGAGGAATTCAGCTGAATCTTCTTGATGAGATGGACGGAGTGATGGTGATATTTCTTGAATGTTGTTAATGATTGTCGTAGGTGTAACCGGTAATGAAGAATGTGATGACGATGTTGTTGTGGTCGTTGAAGTAACCATGTTGATTTTGTTTTGAATTTCTTTATGATGAATTAGTCGGGTGATTTGTTCAAATGCACACAACAAGCATAATTCGTTCGATAGTCGAACACTACCTAAACACAGAAAGAAAGGTGAAAGTCCAGTATGCCTAACTACTATCCATCCTAAAATACAAGACCCATGGGCATTTCTTGAATAACTTTTGAGGGAATGAGATAGAGACCTGCGATTTTCGCTCTTCAATAGCCAAGACTTGAGCAGAACTTTTCACGAGCGGAAGCAAGTTTTGAAAAAATTCCATAGATCGGGTTTTCAGAGGATCTTTGGAAAACCAGCTCCGTTCTCAGAAAACTAACATACAATATTAGTAATTTTTTTGCATGCGTAGATAGTTTGGACGTTACTCTACAAAATTATGCAAGTCCCGGCTCTCTAGCTATCGTCGTTCGGGCAGGGCTCGCTTTCCCCGAGTACGTGTCTATCTCCGAGCACACATCTCTGGGAATCTCAAAATGCCATGGACTATAGGTAATCGACTATGGTGAGCATAGTAGTAACATTTGTTTTTGTGTAGAAATGAATATAACTTCGCCAGAGGCATTGTTGTGAAAAACCGGTTTTTCGCCTGTTACTAGCAAAAATTAAAATCCTTATATCTCGATCAAATCTCATGCTGACTCAAGGAAATTTTCAGAAAACGCTCAGGACAGCTCATAAAGCATAATCGAAGACGAAAAAGGTGGATTTCAGCCGGGCATTGGTTTAAGGTTTTCCAGAACCTTCTAAAAAACCTCAAAGCATCAGTGTTCTGCTGGACCACTTTTTCGGCGTGATCAACAATATATGGCACCTTTTAAGTCTTTCCTGAAAATTTCCTTGAGTCAGCATGAGATTTGATCGAGATATAAGGATTTTAATTTTTGCTAGTAACAGGCGAAAAACCGGTTTTAACTATTTCCAACGTTGACTAACCCAGAACCATGCGTGTTTAATAAATTCCATTCAAGGTTCAATGAAGTTGATGTTGTTGTAGTGATAGGATTGATAGTGGACGAAAATGTGATCAATGATGGGGACGAAGATACAGGTGTACTGTGGATGTTCATATTACTGTTGTTATTGTCATTCGATGGTAATAATGAAATTATTGGTAAATGTCCTAAAACGAAAGAAAGAATATGTGTAAAATTACGATTCTAATATTTTCAATGGAAGCGGAGAGCAGGCCTGTTAACTAAAACTTTTTCGATCTGTGGGTGGCTTAACTAGAGATAAAAGTTGTATACTTGTTGTAGAAAGTTCAGACGATGTTGGCAAAAATAACTTGATTTTTTTTCTTGTTTTGTTGAACAGATCTATGTTTTTCCCAACAACTTCTTCGCCGGTACATTCCTCTAAAAACAGAGACAAATGCAAATAATACTCTACAGCTGAACGTCTACTAGCAGCTTTGATCACTTACCATCATCCCCAGAAGGTTCTACATTTGCTAAACGAACTCGTTTTTGTTTCGATGGTGATTTGGTATTCACAATAATACTTTCTTCAGCTAAAAGAATAAAAAGAACAAAATCAGCACATTTGTCTTACGAAAGAGACTCAGAAAATATATTACCTTTTTCTGCTATTGTTACATCGAACGGCAGTTCTGTGTTTTCATTATTTGGTACTGTATGTGTTTTGGGTAGTTCTAAACGAGCAATTTTTGCTGGTGCTGATGATTCAATCTCCATATTATTTGTAATGGTTTGCAATGGTCCTAAATAAAGAAAAAGAATCGAAATTATTATTACGATAACTAAAGCAAAAACTACCAGCTTACGCTTGAGGTTTCTTGCTAATAGTGGTATTCTAACCGGTTGTAGTTGTTTTCTTATTTTTATCGCTTGATTTTCTTTTTCACAGCTATTGGCGGAAGGTGGTCGTCACAGTACAACATGTGACGGAAATGATGTATTTTTCACTTTCATTTGAACTAAAAGAAATTAATTAGAAATTAAAAAGAATTTAACAGCAAAAAGAAAAGTAATTAACATAACATCCCATGCAAAGACAGAGAGAAACAAAGATACCCTGTTTTAGGTCAAAATCTGTGTGTCTTGTAATATAATCAGATGGCGCCGGATGAACATTTGAATCTACAAAGAGAGAAAGAACAAAATTAAATACATTAGGAAAAGAAGAGATACAGATAAGACGAGAACATACTATTCACACTAATATCGGTTAAATATGGGTTGTTATTCTGATAATATTTTATTTCATTTAATAATTTGATGGTTCGCCCATTAACTTTCTCTTTAATTCTGTTGATGAACTTTTTTGTTGTATTTAAATATGTTTCAATATCTGTGATACCAAACTTAATCAATTTGACTTGAAATTGCAGACTAATATTATCTGGTATTATTTTAATATACCCATCCGTCTCGTCGTTGCAACAGCCATGAAACATTTGATCTGTATACATTAATACACATTCATCAACTAATAGACACAAGATTTCGTCTCTATCTTCTTGTGATACTCCTGGTGTTGCAGAGATGACTGATAATGTGTCAAAAATGCTTGATTCAATATTTAATATTAGTCGACCAATACGTTTACGTTTTCTTCTAAAATTTTTAATTGTAGAATAGACTAAAACAAACAATGAAAAAGGAAACATTAGATTAATAGCTTAAAACCCTTTTACATTCCACTATTCAAGAAAATTTTTGATCATGTGGCTACAGCGGAAGAAGAATTTCAATTTTTCGATTCTGCCGAACGTAAGAAATATCTCCATTTTTCCTAGAGAAAAAAGTGAAATATAAAGTTAAAATATCTGTTATAGGAAGGCTTAAAATTGTACTATAGGAAAAATTGAAATTTTAAGTTGTCCTAGCAGAAAACTAAAATTTTAGAGTTGATAAGGGAGAATTTTGAATAAAACGCGAAGCAAATTTCGCTTTTTAATAACTTTTTTAATTCTTAACATTTTTGAAATCTGATTCGACAGATCTCTCTAGCAGATGATAGTCTATCGATCTATTAAAAAACTTTTCGAAAATCTTATCTGGATCTGGATCACTAAGAGAGACTGTCCCTCTATCCATCGATTTTCTAAAATCACTCTGAATATTCAGAGTGATTTTAGAAAATCGATGGATAGAGGGACAGTCTCTCTTAGTGATCCAGATCCAGATAAGATTTTCGAAAAGTTTTTTAATAGATCGATAGACTATCATCTGCTAGAGAGATCTGTC